TTTCACAGGATCTAGTTTGTGTATCTGGGTCCTGCTAATTTGAGTGATTTGGACTTTTTTTGCACCTTTTGGAAACACTCCTCTTTCTGGATCGGATTTCTTTCTGTTTACTGTGCTGGCTCTTCACCAGCTCGTCTGCCATTTTGATGATATCGTCCAGCTGACCTCGTCCGCTCGCTAACTCGGTCAGAAAGTTCTAAAACAGAAAGTCAAGGGTGAGTCAAAGTATTCAGATATTTTATGAGTTTGTCTGAGTTTATTCTGAAGAAGTGAAAATAAAAAAATCAGGCCTCTTAAATATGTCTAAAAGTCAGAAAAAATCTCAAATTAATCATTTAAAAAAAGCAACAAAAAAGTTGTTTGGGTGAAAATCACTGAAACGAAAGATTGATGCTACAGAAGAAAATCAGTGAAAACTCAGTGGCACTTAATATGAACTGCTGCCTTATCAGATGTATTCTACCTAAAGCCACATTTTTTCATTTCTGATTAACCTACAGAAGTGACATTTGGAAGCCAGTATTTTCCCTGTGATATTTTTCTTTAGAGGATAAAAGTTTCTCCTTCCCAGTAAATAATATGATTTATGAGCTTAACTTAAGGTTGATCTTCATCTACAAATCTGTTGGTATCAGAATCCATCTAGCCAGCTTCGACAACACCATGTTATAAACATATTTCACAAATACTGTGCTATTATTTACTCATTTATAAGTAAACCCACAAGGCTAAATTTCCCACCATCAGCAAAAGGAAACACCTGACTGCTATTACAGTTTATGCTGAGATCTTAACGGAACAAAATGATGGGCTGTGACGTAGTCTTAATATTTTTTAAGAGATGCATTTAAGGATTAAACAAATTAGAAAAATCATGAGGTATTGGGACATTTGTTTCACCCAGATGAGTTGATCCCCTGTTTTCAGTTTGTAGGATAAGTCTTGTAAGATATGTTTGGAAATATTTTTCTGGAGAAGTCTTCACCTCATATTTGGCCTGAACCACTGCTAGATTGTCACCATCAGTGCTGAAGGTGTTGAGGATGTTCTCCTTATCCTCCATCCATGACTCAAACTCATGGCAGCTGTTGTAAAATCGATGAAGACGCAGTATCTCCTCCAGGCTCTTTGTCTTTGTCTGAAAACCGTTATATAAATATAAATCTGATTTTAGAAACAGCTACTCTGAATGTCCTTTTCTGTATAATAATCTGTCATCTTAATACAACCTCCCACATAACTAAGTAAACAGTTTATATTCTGTATACTGCTCCTTTCTCTCACCTTCACCAGGTTGTACAAGAAATTGTACTCTCGGTCCAACCTGCCCTGTGTGCTCTCCACAGTATCTCTCTGGTACTCGGGGTCTGGCAGCCATGTGGTTTGGATCTCAGCTGTGCCGCGACGCATAGAGCGTTTTCGCCTAGGACGACTCAGTTTCTTGCTTGAGCTTTCTGGCATATCATTGGCTGAGGCAGGTGGAGTGGGTGGAGGAACCTGAAGAGGGTGTGATAAAGTTATTGACACTTTAAAAAAATACATAAT